CCAAATTGAGGATGTAAAATTCAAACTCAAGCAGCGAGCCTGAGTGGATCTAATTAAACTTCAGTCCTATTCAAGTTGTGGTTTGTCAGTCATTTGAAAAGTCTAATCTGCTAAAATACGAAGAAAATTATCCTTAGTAGCCCGATACTCAAGTCTGAATTTTTCATCTAGGTTTGGTGCCTTTCAGTGTGTCTGTTCATATAGCCATGATGCTACCTCAGTATCTTCCATGTCTGTTCAACATAACACCTAATACAGAAGCCACATAAAAACTTCTACAAGTGGCTGGTATTGACAACATATATGGCCAGTGGAGTAAAGGCTCAAGCTAAGTGTCATTTTTATTTATTAGCAACTTTCCAGATTAATCAACTATTAATCTACTAATACTACTACTAATCAATTATTTGACCAATAAAGGTAGAAATGTCTGTAATGTCCCATAGTCCAAGGTGACAGAGGTTGTTAGGTCTGACCAACAGTCAAATATTCATACTGTCAGTATTCTGACATAACAGAGGGTTCAATCCATTAACCTCTGGTTTATCAGACCAGCACACATCCCAGATGGGACTTGAACCCACAATCCCTGGTTTAGGCCAGAGCCTTATCCATTAGGCCACTGGGGGCTAAGTGTGTGAGGGAGCCACTGTACACAGATTAGTATTGTCTGGTATTAACAACACACGAATCGTTATCACAAAGACTCCGTTTCTATGGCCAGGGATGGCAGCCTTTGTAGACGTTAATTCAGTGAGTGCTTTGTGTTCATTGTAGTCTAACCTGCAGACTACTTGTTTGGTCTATAACGTCAGACAAAAGGGAAATACCTGTTACCCCAATACCTAGTTTTTTACAGTCCAAAACCCAAGACATTCAGTTTACTAACTATAAAAAATAGCAGTTCAGTCAATATCAGTTTTGTCATTGTAAAAAATAAAATAAAATCAACTAATCGGCAGCAGCAAAAGGCTTTCTAGAGGTGGCGTCCACATCTCTTACAAATCCTCAGGGGGCTATTTAAAATTTTAAGTATTTGTTTATACGTATATGTACAAAATGTTCCCTAGAAAGCAGTATTGAAAAATGGATTGTTCTGGTGAAATAAAGTTAGTGAAATCAACTGTAACCTTTGTGATGGTTGCAATTACTTTGCTTCTTTAAAGGCAAATGCTAAAAAGCACGAGACCTACAGGTTATTATGAACAAACTCTGAGCTTACTGATATTGTTGCTTAAATTTGCAGCTGTTACAAAGACAATAAGCTGCACGATGTAGACTTTGGAGTAGTATAGACATTATAGAGTTGGATTTTAGTGAAACGTATTCTGTTTTGACTCAATTCCTGACCATAAAACTTCCCTGACTGAAAGGTTATTACATCTGATTATTAAGAAGGTGGCTGTGTGTGACTGAACTTGACGTAGACAAGGATCAGTGAACAGAAATAAAACTGAAACAATGAAATGTCATAACATTTTTGCAAATTTTATAAACCCACCGGGGTCTAAGAATAGATGAGATTTTGGTTGAGGGGCTGATCTTTTGATTTTACATTTAACTATGGACCTCAGTGGTTTCCCCATGGCATGATGAGACTTAAATGACCATCTGTGCATACATACTTACATACAAGTCAGAGAAGTATGGCTAGACAAAGGGCTAATCAGAATCAGAATAAGAATCAGTTTTATTGCCAGGTAGTGTACACATAAGAGGAATTTGACTCAGGATTGTACATTGCTCACGGTGTGCTTACTTATACAATAATAATAATAATATAAAATCCGACACAAACTACAGAGTAGACAACACTAATATAACAATATGAACAAACAATATAGACATATTGACAAGAGTGCAAAGGATGCAAGAGTAAACTATTCTCATTATGTACATGTTGGAGGTGGATATGATATACAGGTACACATATATGCAGTGTGATGGAGCATAGTGCAAAGGATGCTGGAAAAAATAAATAACGTATACCTTATGACCTGAGCTAAGTGTATTGGTATACAGTATAGCTCCCTTTGAGGACACAGAGGTCATGACCTGTATTGTTTTGGTAATGTGAGCGATTTTTAAGGCTGATTCTTTTCCACACAACTTTGACTGTTTTTGGATGCTAAATAACAGATGAATACCTAATCATAAACCATTTCATCCAAACAAATTAGATGGGTTTATTATACTGTTCCTGGCAGTGTTGGTGAAGCTTTTGAAATAGACTTTATACGAGGTTATTGGTAGGTAATTGATAACGTAAAAAGTGTAAATTGAATGATTAAATGAATGTGAGGAACTGAAAGAAAGTTGCACAGCTCTTTGGTGCCTGGTCAAAAATGTCTTACAAGTGTTTCAGGTTAACTACTGGAGCGTGTTTAAGCAGTGGAAAATATATCTTTAACCGTGGTGGCTCAATTGAAAAAACCTCTACACAGATCATCAGTATAGAGAAAAACTAAATGAGTGAGCCAACCGGCTGCCAAAAAGAAAGACACCCGACACCCCAGATGTTCGTAAATATGCCTGCTTCAATATTTTGCCGTATATTTCACTACGCATATAGAAAACACGCTGATTATTGAGCGGTACTCTTTATCTTTTCTCTATTATAGTCGTTTTAAAATTAGATTAAATATGTTTTTTTCCCCCCGTATGACACCTTAATATCACACACATTGTATATAGGCATAGTGTTAGGCAGCTTGACACTCAAGGTCCTGGCGGTTGTAGGCGCTGTTCCAAGCAAGCTGCAAAAACACAAATCGATTGTTTATTTTGTGTTTGTTTACATTTTCCAATCGCACAAATGGCTTCGACTTTGCTATCGCCTATGGTGGATTATTACAACGACGAAGAAGAACTTGATAGCGTGGATGAGGACGATGATCGGAGTTTCAGAGGAAGAGATTCAGAAGAAGGTAAGTTAGCGTAGAGCTCCGGCTTGGTCTACTTGTTGGAAAAAACGGACGGAAATGCGCCATTATTGCATAAATGTAGAACATTTTTTGAATGCAGCATTTAAAGTGATCTACAGATTAAGCTCGAGTGGGAACCTCATTATTATTAAACGTCTTCTAAGTGAAATTTGAACTGCTTGTTCTCAACGCTGAAAATCTATCTAGCCCAATGCGAGCTTCAGCCACACGTACTTAGCTTGTTAGCTACATAAGAAGTTAGCTTAGCTTGCTACCCGACTGCCGCCAGCCAAGTTTCTACCCAGTCAAGAAGCATTTCAGAAGCAGGTGATGTAAACTAGCTCAACGCTGGCTGAACGCCTCCAGTGCTGACAGAATACTGAGTTCATGTTTCAGCTCGTATTTGTTTCCACGCTAACTAGAGGTTCAATGCTAACGTTGCGCGCAAAGCATCAATCGGCTTTAAACATTATTGGCCAGACTGGCTCTACGTTATTGTGCAGTACATCGTTGCTAGCGAAACGCGACTGTAAATTAAGCTAACTGTAGACATGGTTCAGCCCACCTGGACTAAAACAGTTCTAACAAATTATATTCCCACATAGCGTCAATTAGCCAACAACTGCGTAACGTTAGCTCCGAGCAGTGACAGGTCGGCAGGCAGGCGAAACTCTGCGTACTGTGTCCACTGCACTGCCCCTTTCACACTGTTCAGTGAGACAGGACGGATTGCAGTGAAAGAGAAGGAAAGACAAGAGGAAAGCAAGGCGATGACAGCACTACAAGGTTAGCTAGTTTCCTGACTCCCGAGCGAAGAGCTGGACTTATGTTGTTTTTTTTCTCTCCTCCGCATATGTTGACGGGTCTCATACGCTTAACTACGTGAGCTAGAATCGGGTTACTCTTTAAGCAGTGGACTAGCTAACTTCAGCTAGCGCGTTCATGCTAACCGAAAATGAAAGCTGCTGTGTCAGCTTAATACGACGGGCCCTTACCCTTCTTATGTGTCAGGTTTTGAAGGTAGCACCGAGGGACTTGTGTCAGCTGCTGTTTTTAAACTGGGCTCCCAAGTTTGCCACATCGCACTAGCCTAAACATGTTAGCTTAGACTTGAGAGAGTTGCCGCTGGAGGACTGACAGCAAGTTAGCCGGAGACCGTTTCTGATTAAACCTACCATGCGGCAAATGCTGCATCAAAGTAACAGCTATATTTATATCGGTCGTTATATTGATGTAACTGGAGTCCATTTACAAGCCATATCTTTGTCTAGCGAAACTTATTTCTGTTGTCGACCCGAGAATATATTGTGTATGATCTTTCATGGCAAACTTGTATTTTCCCTGGTTCCCTAATCAAACAAATCGGAGGACATTCCCAAGCAGGGTGTTCACCATTACCTTGCCAGTGCCACGCACGTCCTTTGATCTGCACAGATATGTTTCCTCAACTTAACTGCATCAAGTCTGTGTTGGAAAAGCAATTAAAAAACAAACAACAACACACAGTTATCGTTGTACAGCATGCTGAAATGATCACTTATAGAGTATTTTTTAAAACAGATTCAGTTTCATATTTTAGGTGAGAAAGAGTTTTTAGTTGATGCTTCTCCTTTTCCAGACACGGAAGATGCCAGTGAAACAGACCTGGCCAAGCATGACGAGGATGACTATGTTGAAATCAAAGAGCAGTAAGTGTTTTGCCAACAGTGGATCAGCTGTTGTGACCTTCAGTGAAAATCATTTGAAGGTGAAAGCTTTGAATGTTTGCCCCAGTGCTGCACAAGGTGAAAGGAAATGTGATATTGTCTCTGGCTTATTTCATTGCAGAATGTACCAAGACAAACTGGCCTCCCTGAAAAGACAGTTGCAGCAATTACAAGAAGGTAATCACCTTTTTTCTTTTGACAGAAACGTATGGTGTCGTGGGGAGACAGGGCACAGCCAGATCCTAACTGGTTACTCATGGTTGTGGTTACGGATTACATCATCAGCCCAGCAGTTTGAAAGTGCAGCCTCTGTCTCTGTCTTAAAAGAGAAGCCTGCTGAGAAACAGACGATAACTAATGACAAACAGTCCTCCACAAACAGCTTTTTGGCAGTTTCAACGTACAGTGTCCCACGACCTCTCTATTGCTCAAACTGATGTGGAGGGAAATGTTGTGGGCTCTTCCAAATGTAGGTGCAGTTTCAGTGTAGACTAGATTGAGGATGCCAAATTTTACCAGTGAAACAGATATTTTCTCAGTATTTGAGTTTTAATAACTTAAGAATTGACTTGCTCTCACACAAACATAAGTAATTTCTAAATCAAACATTTTGATTCCAGAGATCTTCACTTCAATGACACTTTCTCCTTGCAGGTACACTGCAGGAGTATCAGAAGAGGATGAAGAAGCTGGACCAGCAGTACAAAGAGAGACTCCGAAATGCAGGCAAGTATTTAGAGGCAGAACACACTGTGCTTTGCTTCTGATGAGTGCACACCAATCATGAGATCCAGACTATTACACTTTGAGTGGTTTCTGCTTTAAGTGTGGTTTGTTTGGCCTGGGGAGAACTATGGCAATTAACGGTGCTTCAAAACAACTGCTTGGAGGTAAAAACCAACCATCCTCTCTAAGAGGGAAAGCAAACACTTTCAACCACAAATTTCATGGTAATCTCTAGGTGTAACCCGCTGCTCCAGAGAACGTACTACACAGTCCTGACTCGAAACAGCGACCTCGGGTACGGGAGGCAGACACGCTGATGAGGAGGCTAAAACCCATGGGAGGCTAAGACCCATGTTTGGGGCTAAAACCTCTGGCGTCTGTTGTGTCTTAGGTGTCAGGAAAATAGGTTGACTCACTGCACAGCCGCTTCCGTCACATAGGCACCATTTGATTACGATTCAGAGGGCTGCAAGCGATGATGAAGTCACTGTGTGACTACTTGGTACTGTTAAAGCAAAATGTTCGTAATGATCCATGATGAATTTACTTCCAATATATTTTATCAATAAAACAAATGGAAGCAATGTGGCAAGTCACTTGGAAAGCTCCTCCGGGTGGAAACGTGTAATATGGTTTACTCATGTTTGTCGTGGTTCCAGAATATTTTAGTGTGGGTTGACACATTCTTGAACACACCGTGGCTCTTGTCCAGGTCCTTTTTCCCTTCAACGTCATAGAAGTAAAAGTGCTTCCATACGGTACCTTTTAATGCAGAGGGTGCCGGTCTGATTTTTCGCTCAGCCATCTTGTGTCGCTGTTATGTGCACGCCACAGACTCTCTGAGCACGGCACTTCTGAGTTCCACCTTTTGCGTTCCATCAACATTTCATTATCAGTTAACATTTACATTTGTGAATCTGTTCAGAATCGTCTACATCGTGATGCATCTAAGAATCGATCCCCACCCCCAAATAAATAAATATTACTGTTACTATCTTGTTTTTGTTTTAGTATGAACACCAGAGACAATACATTATGGCAAAGAGTGTGAGTAAAGCTGTGCAGGCAGGCATTGTGAATTCACCCCAAGTTTTTGTCCTGACTAATTTTAGAATTGGGCCAAATTTCTGCCAGATCAGTTGTTGTTTGAGAGGGTTTGTTATCATTTGATCAACAATGATTAAATGAATTTCTGACATGTCAGAAAATTGGGGCAGCGGCTGTGTTTACATTCATCATGAGCACCAGTGACATGACTGAGCCGTCTTCCTTTCTCTCCGCTCTCCAACCCGTCCATCTTCCACCATTTGACAGTTTTAATTATATCGGTTACTTTATTGTCGTTGACTCAGTGGCTTTTGTGTGTGTGTGATCAGTTGTTTCATTTTCTCGCTGTGTGTGCCAGAATGTTACTTACTGTGTTTGTTCGGCCCAGAATGCAAAATTCAAAAACAAACACAGGCTCTTGTAATTGACCCTCAATGGCCCCAGTGGCGGACAGTAGTAGCATTCATGAATGATGAATTGACTATTCAACATAAAAATGTCAAAAGGGGCAAAACACAGTAAAAGATGCATTCTTCCCCATGTCTTTTAAGTTGGTAGCTATTTGCTAAATCTTACAGGGTATTTATGCTGTAAGGCCCTGTACTGCAACGTCTTCTTGAGCTCTCTTTATAGTCTTCAGGGTAACCAAATTTGACTTCAGTTGTCAAAGTCAAGTTTGTTCTACATGACCAGTTGTGTTTTCTTTCCCTTTACAGATCTGTTTCTCTCTCTGGAGGTGAGTGTAAAAGCTTGCTGACCAGCCGATGTGGTTTATACCAAATTGACCTTTTTAACTTTTTCTGGTTTTGCAAGGAAAACATCCCTTCTTTCTTTTTCCATTGTTTCTGTCTGTCAACATTCTGCAGACAGAGCAGGTGGAGAGGAACTACATCAAGGAGAAGAAGGCAGCGGTGAAGGAGTTTGATGATAAAAAGGTTGAACTGAAGGAAAACCTAATTGCAGAGCTGGAGGAGAAGAAGAAGATGATCGAGAACGAAAAATTAACAATGGAGCTGACAGGCGGTAAGGGAGCCAGAACAGGATTATTAATGAGGGACTTGCTCAGCGGAAGAGAGAGAGAAATGGGGTAAAAAAGAAGGATGTGGTTGGAAGTTTTTCTCTCTACACACTTTAATATTAAGTTGTCTGATTTAAAGTAGGACTTTCAGAAACGGTAATTTAAAATGTTGGTGTCTGTTCTTTTGAATTGTCTGTGTGGGATATTTGTTTTTCATAAATCACAACTGCTGTGCTTTTTGTGAAAAATGTTATTGTTACATCAAAATTTGTCATTATTTCTTTCGTGCATAGACTCAATGGAGGTAAAACCTATCATGACTCGAAAGCTGAGGAGACGGCCCAACGACCCAGTCCCAATACCCGACAAACGGAGAAAACCTGCACCAGATATCCTTTGCGTGAATGTGCGGTCTCTGATTTGCTACAGTTAGCTGTCACCTCAGATGAATATGTGAGGTGTACATTATTCAGTATTTTTTTTACTGGCAGTATTTGCACTTTCTCAAGATAGATTTTCAGTTTAAGGGAGGAAAGAGGTAAAGGTCAAGTTCCTCAGCTAAGTTGTGTTTCAAACTGCCTTCCTTAACACTTCAAACCTCAGCTAAATTATTTGTTAACGGATGAACAGATAATGGAAGATCTAAGAACACTTAATAAGGTAAGTGTTTCTGAATTTTGTTTATTATGCATGTCCCTGCTGAATCTGATTTTGTTCTAAAGGTTTCTTTTAAACATTTCCCACCTTGTCTTTTACAGCTTAAGTCACCAAAACGGCCAGGTATGTCAGTGCTCACCTTTTTTTAAAGTTCATTTTCACTTGTCATGCACAGTGAGTTCTCTAGTTTAAGAAATAGTTGGTAATTTAGGGAAATATGCCCATTTGCTTTTTTGCGGAGTTAGATGAGATAATCATGTCTCATGTCTGTATGCTAAATATGAAACTACAGCCAGCAGCTGGTTAGCTTAGCATAGCACAGGGAGAACAGCTATCCTGGCTTGGTCCAAAGGCAAAGGAATCTGGACTTGAGTAAATAAGCATATTTCCCAAACTGTCCCAAAACTATTCCTTAAAACATGAAACTATTTGTGTATAGGTTTTGCATGGTGATACTAATCAGGTGTTTTGTGTCTTCAGTGTCTCCCTCGACTCCAGAGCACGTTCCCTCGGCTCCCATGGAGAACCCTTCGCAGCGTTACGAGGCGCGCATCGAGGAGGGGAAACTTTACTATGACAAAAGATGGTGAATTCAAAACTTCATCCTTAAAACGTGCATCTCAGTGTTTCCCCAGACATTGTGCCATTTCCTACATAGCTTGACTACAGCTTGTGACACCACTAGATGGCCACATTGCCCTGGTTTGGATGGCTTTGGTGTTTGGTTGTGTCTTCAAAAAGACATTTTATAACTACTTTGATAGCCTGTTTTTGTCTGAGCTACAGAAAGATATATTTCTTAGGAGCCACTGAATAAGTGCTTGTGCTTGAAGCCTCTATAGAAACGCACATTCAGAGAAGGTGGCTGCGTTCTGCTGTGATGCACAGATAGAGAGTATGAAAATCCACAGCCAGACACGGCTTTGATGCCCTTCTGTTAGTCTGCATCAGACATGTGTCAGAACATACGGTAATTTGAAGAGGGGTAAAAATAAGAGATGTCTGTGTTATTAGCAAGGAGGAGCGAGCTATGAGGTATACGCACTTTTCTTTCAAGGCAAAGTGTCATTTATTCACTGGTAAAGAAGACACCACCACTGGAAAGCCTTCTCAAAGGCTTATTATTCTTCAGTGGCCCCTTAATGATCAAATACTTTTATTTTTCAGTCTTTTCCCTGGGTTGGTTCTGTCCTCTTGACAGTTTGCAGCCATTAAAAAAACAAAAAAAAAACAGGCTTTTTGTTTTGACTTTCCAGTCCCAATTATCTATTTAGTGCCATCTCAGGTGGAATGTCGTTTATTCACCTGTTTATGTATTATGAACGCCTCTCCTGTCTGCACCTATGCCTATCCATCATTCCTCACTTTGAATGGCGAATTTATGCGGTGTATGTGTTTATGCTGACAGGTACCACAAGAGCCAGGCCATCTACCTGGAGTCAAAGGACAACACAAAGATTAGCTGTGTCATCAGCTCAGTGGGGACCAATGAGGTGAGCTTTACTCACTCAGCTCCTGTCGCATATAGGCTGGTGATCTAATATGTTTTCCTTACTTTCGACAAATCCTATGACAAGACCAATGAATTGGTTCTTCTGACAAGTGTTGAAGAATTGTAGCCAAAGCTTGATGTATTTTCTTATTCTGTGCCACAGAGCTCCATTGTTCCAAAAAACATTAAAAACACATCAGTGACCCACACTGTTGCACTGGGTGACGTGTTCCTTCATTACCGTGAACAAACGCACTGTGGTTTATTTTGACTCAAGCTCACATACACCCATCCTGCTGCTGTAAATACTCACCAGAGCGCCAAATGTGTGTTAATCCACAGCTGAAAATAGTCTCCAACGAATGCACTATTTACTCCTGTTTGGGTAACTGTTGGTAAAAAATAAAAATACAGTGCCCAGCTGTCCAGTTTTAAAAAAGGAAATTAAACATTTTGTGACCCATTTTAAAAACAATTATGTATGAAATAGAAACAAATTGGCTTTGGTCTGCAGTCACAGACAGGTTGGGAAGTGAGCCGTTGTCAGTAATGGTCTTTCGATTGGAATTTGTTAACAATTAGTAAATAACTGACTAAGACCAGTGTGATAACAAGTGTTGATTGTGTAGTGGAGGGCGAGACAATATTACTTGCTTGACTGTTACCAGCCACAGATTTGTTTAACAGATTTTACTAGTGTTCGACTAGTAACAAGTGCTAATTTCCCACTCTAACCAACACAAGACTATCGCTAAGAATGATCACTGGGAAAGGAAAGTTCATTCATTCCTGTGAGCATTCTGGTAAAAATGTGAGAATGCAGTTTGGCTGTCTTCTCACAGTCTGGCTTTTAGTAGATAATTGTGGGTCATATTGGCATATCTTGCCAGCGACAGCTACTTTGGAATGCGTTATTTTTTAATGACTATACTGAGGGATTGTCTTTGTTGTCCAGATTTGGGTGAGGAAGACGAGCGACAGTACAAAGATGAGGATTTACCTGGGACAGCTGCAGAGGGGAGCGTTTGTCATACGCCGACGGTCGGCTGCGTGAAACACCTCTGCACCCAGCCCCCATCTGGTCATTTATCCATCCATCCATCCACTCGCTTGTTCATCCACTGTTTCCCTATGTGGTGCATCTCAGTTGAGTTTGACATGTGCCCTTTTACTCATCATATGAACTACCCCCCACTACTCAAGCAAACACACATTCAGTCTTCCCAGGCCTAGACTGTCTAATCAGATTTGACCTGTTTTTCTGACATTAGCCAAATGCTAGTACAGAAAAAGTGGTCATATACACAGCTGACAGTTTTGCAACATTATTTGTCACTGTGTGGCATGTGTGTGAAGGCGGTTGTGGTCATAAAGAAGCTTACTTTGATTTTTGTCTCGTGCTGTCAACAGAAATTTTTTCTACACCGTGTAGTCTTTATTTACATTTACCACTTAAGTTATTTTCTTACACAGCTTCATGTTGACCCACAGAAACGTCTTCAAGCCTTTCAAACTGTCTCACTGGCGATGAGTAACAAAGCAAGCACTGAAAAACAGCAGAGGAACTACTTCAGGTTTGGATGACATGAATCTCTTGACTGAAGAAGTTACAGAAGTTTCCTTAAACCAGGAGTTGTGCCATTTTCAAACCAATATGCCCTTTGCACTGTCTTCAAGAATTGGAGGCTGCTTGTTATGCTGATTTTTGTCCTAATATGTTTAAAAAGTCCTTTTTTCTCTTTTGGGGGAAAAAAATGTATTTTGAGGTAGTTGTTTTATGTGATCCATATGTGAACAATCTGGATTAGTTCAACTGTATTTGCATGTGGAGCATTAAGTTGACTGTTGATTTGTACTGTGTTCCATTTTATTAAAATGTTTTCTGCATTTTAATAATTTGATGAAACAATGAATTGCTTTGATATTTCTGAAATACATAAACAAGTTTGCAGTCATGGTAATCAACAATGTTACTTAAAAGACTTTTGTCTGGACTTGAGCTTCTGTTGTGTACTAGAGGGTGACACAGGAGTGAGTTTTCAGCCTCTGTCCCATCCCACTCCCACAAAAATACTGTTGTCCCTTCCAAATCCCATAACTGAATTTAAAAAACCCAAAAAATCAATCCCAAACCTGACTTTTTAAAAATATCAGAGAATAGCGTTTGGTCACATTGGAACTGCATATTTATGTATCTCCTGTTGTCTTTGTCCCCTGTCCTGTCCCAGTCCCTTGATGAATGGTGAAATTAACTCCCATCCTGTTGGAAACCCAAAAAATGTCAGCCTCTATCGTATACTAATCAATACTAGTCTTCAGTCATGCTAATAGGTCAGTGAGGCTGTACTTGGGCACAATGGTGCTTTGCTAAATCCTAGTGTCAGCATGCTAACATGCTGATGTTTAACAGATGTTTATCATGTTCACCATTGTAATTTAGCATGTTAGCATGCTAACCTTTTGTAATTATCAAACACGAAGTACAGCTTTGCCTGATGGGACCTGTCATCAGTATTTTGTCATAAGCCAAAGTATTTGTATTATATAAGTAAAATTTGAAATTTTAGCCTGATGAGGGTGCTAAAGGGAAAGTCTGTGGATCACCAAAGTCGGTAGGATTTCTCCTGCTTGAATCCCAGAGGGACCATGAATGTGTGAAGAAATTCCTGTCTGGATTGAAGGGTTGGGCTGATCAACACTGCCTATGTCTCACCTGGCTGCATAACAGACTAGGGCTGCTGCTTACACCACACAGCCTGTGTAGACATGGCGCGGGCTCAGCATCGGGCTTGTCTAACTTGTTGATCCGCATCATGAAAAAATGATTGCCTTTTGCAATGTAACAACTTTTCACAAGCATTTTATGTTACTATATATCTAATTCGAATCCCGCAATTACTAAATATTGACCATTTAGGGTCAGCGTAAATGAGCTCTGAACACAAATCAACACCTTATCATTTCATTTACTGTCAGATATGTATATACACTTAAAAGTTGATATGGTAAATTTGTTAGCAAACTGCAAATACAGAGCAACGTTAGCATTCATTTGGAGTTGTGCTCCTAGTGACCTAAGTGTATCTTATTTTAGCTCTGGTTTCACTATGTTCATCTGCTAGTTCTATTTCGTATAGGCTTCGCCCTCTAAGGCTATCGCTATTGGGTTTACCCCTTGCGCGCGCCTACGCAGCACTGAGAATTCTAGTCTACGCCCACCCACAGCGTGGGCCTCTTTTATGTCCGCACCCTTCGGCTCCCTATTTTCTTCAGCACTGAGCTTGAAGTCTAAGAGCATAGAAGACCAAAAGAAGAACAAAAAGAGTAATCTGCCTGCAGCGAGAAGAACGATGTCTTCCTACCTGCTGGGGGATCTTCATCCCCGATGTGAGGCTTAACTTCTTGTTATCCGTCCTCTGATGTGGCAGCCCACACGCTCGCCTTATGTCGTTCCCCGTCCCTCTCCACCGGCGGCTGCCCCGCCGGCACAGCGCTGCACTCCCAAGGCTCTGCCTCTGGCCTGCTCATGGTCCAACCCCCCTGCGCAGCCTCGCCACCCTGGGAGGCCCCACTTTGGGGGGAAATGCGGCGGAGTGGCTTCTCTTCATGGTCACCAGAGCGCCTCATCATCATCTCCATCCCGATCTGGTGGCCCAGAGCTGGCTCCGGTTCGGCAGGGCAGAGGTGGATCTGTTTGCCAACAAGGAGAACGCTCAGTGCGCCCTTTGGTTTTCACTGAGCCCGCAGGAAGTCCCCCGGCTGGGAGTGGACGCCTTCGCTCACCCCCTCAGCCTCGGCCCTCGGCCTCCCATGCCGCGCCATCGGTGCTCGCGCGCACGCCGGCACCAATGCCGCGGTCAGCGGGTGACTGGGTGGCTCATTATGGCTCTGTGCAGGTGAATTATGCTAGGTGGTACCGTATGGGCCAGTGAGGCGTTGACTCATCCTGCTTCGCCCTAACCCAGTAGCGATAGCCTTAGAGGGCGAAGCCTATATGAAATAGAACGGGGGTTACGTACTGTAACCCGGATTACATGAGTATAGGTGCAGTCCTCTAAGTTGTAGACCTCACTGGACCTTGGTTCTCAGTGCTGAAGAAAAGGCATTTGGGAGCCATAGGCTGGGTCTCACCGTTGTGTGTGTGTGTGTGTATATATACAAGGTGCGGACGTAGGAGGGCGTAGACTAAAATTCTCAGTGGCAGGCGCGCTGAAGGGGTAAACCCAATAGTGATAGCCTTAGAGGGTGAAGCCTATACTCATAGAATCCGGGTTACAGTACGTAACCCCTGTTCCTAACTTTGTATTTTGGTGCTGAGCAGCCAGCAGACAGTGGGTTTCTAGAGCTTTTTTGCTGCTGCAGCTGGAAACAAGTTTGATGAGTGCAGCATGACTCAGCCAAAGGGTAAAATTGCATCCCAGAAAACCAAAAACTGTGTTGAATTTTGCTGAAACTGCACAGTCAGGTGGTAATTCTCTCAAACAAGTCACATACAACTAGTTGTGTGATACTTTGTTAATATAACAATATTGACTATAGACTCTTTAAATGAGCACAAATATACACTCACTGGCCACTTTATGGTACACCTTGCTAGTACCGTGTTGGACCCCTTTTGCCTTCAGAACTGCCTTAATTCTTCGTGGCGTACTTTCAACAAGGTGTTGGAAATATTCCTCAGAGACTTTGGTCTGTGTTGACATGATAGCATCGCGCAGTTGCTGCAGATTTGTCAGCTGCAGATTCATGATGAGAATGTCCCGTTCCACCACATCCCAAAGGTGCTGTATTGGATTGAAATCTGGTGACTGTGGAGGCCATTGGAATACAGTTAACTCATTGTCATGTTCAAGAAACCAGTTTGAGATGATTTGAGCTTTGTGACATGGTGCATTATCCTGCTGGAAGTAGCCTTCAGAAGATGGGTACTGTGTTCATAAAGGGATGGACATGGTCAGCAACAATACTCAGGTAGGCTGTTGAAATGATCCTCAGTTGGTACCAAAGGGCTCAATGTGTGCCAAGAAATATCCCCTACACCATTACATCACCACCAGCAGCCTGACCCGTTGATACAAGGCAGGATGGATCCATGCTTTCATGTTGTTTACACCAAATTCTGACCTACCATCTGAATGTCGCAGCTGAAATCGAGACTCATCAGACCAGGCAACGTGTTTTCAGTCTTCTATTGTTCAATTTTGGAGAGCCTGTGTGAATTGTAGCCACAGTCTCCTGTTCTTAGCTGACAGGAATGGCACCGGTGTGGTCTTCTGCTGCTGTAGCCCATCTGCTTCAACATTGCACATGTTGTGCGTTAAGAGATGGTATTGTGCATACCTTGGTTGTAACAAGTAGTTTTTTGAGTTACTGTTGCCTTTCTGTCATCTCGAACCAGTCTGCCCATTCTCCTCTGACCTCTGACATCAACAAGGCATTTTCGTCTACACAACTACCGCTCACTGGATATTTTCTCTTTTTCGGACCATTCTCTGTAAACCCTAGGGATGGTTGTGCGTGAAAATCACAGTAGATCAGCAGTTTCTGAAATATTCAGACCAGCCCGTCTGGCACCAACAACCATGCCACGGTCAAAGTCACTTAAATCCCCTTTCTTCCCCATTCTGATGATTGGTTTGAACTTGTCATCTTAACCACGTCTACATGCTTAAACGCATTAAGTTGCTGCCATGTGATTGGCTGATTAGCTATTTGTGTTAACAAGCAGTTTTAACAGGTCTACCTAATAAAGTGGCTGGTGAGTGTACATGTAATTTCGTAATGCTCTAACGTGTTTGATAATATCTTAAATTGGTCATTAATGTTAACAGTAGGGTAAAGATAAACATTTGAATTGCTGTGTATTTTCCCATGTCAGTGCTCTGTGTCCATTTCATCTGTAGGGGATATTTTTCTTTTGCCAGCATCTCAAGATAATCAACCTGAACCAGTCACATCACAGTTCCACTCCATTCACACAGGTGCTCTCAACCATCCCTCCACTTTGTAAACAGCTGAATTATCCGCCGGCTGAGCAGCCTACCTTTTCCCTCTTGTGTGTCCTATCGCTTTAACCGGATGGCATGTTTCACTTCGCCTGACTTAATGACACAGCCTGACAAGGAGAGCAATTACTGTTTTGCCATGCTGCACAAAATGCAAGGCTCATCTCAAAAGGCTTGTTGTCCAGAAGCCGTCGCGCATGTGATTGCTCATCCTCTTGCCATGGCATGAAATGAGCTGATAGTGAATGTGATGTGATCTCCCTTTATTGCATCTCATGTCTGGCTTTTGTTTAAGGCCAGAACATCATGCACTGAGGCACTTAATGTGAAATGTGTCTGTATCAGTCTCATAGCTAACATTGTGGTTTCTCACTTTCGGCCTATTTTAATTGATCTAGAATCAGCGGTGGGACAGAAGGATGTGCCGCCCCCCCCTAAAATCTGATTGGCACCCCCTGGTGCCCTCATACCAGAGTCAAAGATGATAGATCAAACAACCCCAAAAAGACACAAAATGACCACAAGGAAAACGGCCAAAAAGAAATTACATATTACCACAAAGAGATGCGAAAGAGACAGGGTCAGGATGTTTAAATCATTTTGTGAGTGTCTTGTGCCTATGTATGAGGAGTGGATGGCCTTTTACATGTCTTTGTCCAGGGGCCCATTTTCTCTGACACTGCAGCTATTATTATACATTACATAATGTACAGTTTATTTTTGCCAAGAACCAGGACTTTAAATGTAAGTCTTAAATTATTTTCACTGACTTTACAATACACTGCCCCCCCCCCCCCCCCCCCGGAATTAATAGATCATCATGGCTGTTTGTCCCAATTTCAGTCTCTGTAAAATGGGGGGGGGCAGGTGCTGACTCCTCCAAGTTTACCT